ACAATAACACGGCAAATCACACCACCCCATCAAAAAAATAATAAATCCATGCCTCCCAATAAATACTGAACAACAGAAACGACACTCTTTACCTTGTGTCAAAACCACGCTAACGAGAGTCGCCCATGTCCCAGCTGCCTAAGGCACCTCCAGGTGCCTGCAGAGCTGCCTTCTCCCAGAGTAACAGCGATGGGCCAGAGGCTTGGCTCGGAAAAGGAAACGTGAGCCATGCCTGGAAGGAGGAGGCTCCATGAATGGTTTAGCAGCTGCTCCTGGTCCTGGCACAGCTCTGGGGGTGCAGAGCCTGGCATGGGCAGTAGTCCTGATTGCTCAGCCCCTGCAGTGCATGGGGGACATGACAGAAACGGGAAAGACTGAGGCCTGTCATCTGCTTCAAGCTACAGAAGACACGGGGTAGTTCAAACACGAGCACTTGTCACGGGCTCATTGCGTTGCCTGCCTTCCTGCATAGAAGCCCCAACCCCCAGGACTCAGGGCATCACTGTATTTGCAGAGGGGGTCTCAGGGAGGTAGTGAAGGTAAAATGAGGTCACGAGGATGGGCCCTGACCTGGTATGACGGGTGTCCTGATGAGAGAAGTTCAGGAACACGCAGAAGGACAGCCGTGTGAGGACACAGGGGGAAGACAGCTGTCCCCAAGTGGGCGAGAGCGGCCCTGCCCACACCTGGATCTAAGACCTCCAGCCTCCAGGATGTGAGGAAGAACAGCTCTGCTGTTTCAGCCCCCAGGACAGGTCCCCCGAGGTCCAAAGACCCTGCAGCAGCCAGGCACTCATGCTTCCAGGCCACTCTTCTCACTGATGTCACTGGGCAGGTTATTTTTAGAAACTGAAACGATGCGCCTTGCTTGGCTCACAACACTGGTGTGTCATTCCCACGCACAGGAGACACACGTCCTGAGGCACGGAGCCTGCTGCCTTCCAACTTGCGGGCGCCAATCTCGGTCACGGGTGACTTTTCAGAGGGTTCTCCTTTGTTGTTCTTACGCAAACTTTATCCAGATCAGTCAATAGCAGTGCCTCTCTCACGGCAAGGTGGAGGGGGGGCGGGGGGAGGCGCTCCTTGGCCACACAGAGAAGAGACGAGAGTCACTTGGTTTCCTTACGGTGTCGAGGGCGGTACGCTCTTGTTGCTGTCCGCGGTTCGTGCTGTGTAAATGTGCAGAACTTGCCCTTGGCGGGCTTCAGAAACTGGTGGCCCTGCAGCCCTTGAGGGATACTTCTGAGGCCATTCTTGGAAGGAAGGATAAATAGCTCCCAAATGTAGGAAAAGTTGCTCAATCTTATGCACAAGAGAAATGTAAACAAAAATTGCCTTAAAATAGCATTTTCCACATACCAGTGGCAAAGATGAAGGGTGGCCAGTACCCAGGGCTGAGGAGGGTCTGGGGACGCAGGCACCATTTTCCACATAGTTGGTGGGAGTGTCAGTTAGTCCAACATTTTGGCAGGAAGTTTGCTTATGCCTCTCAAAATAAATGAAAGGCATCCTCCTCTAGGGTCTTCTAGAAATTTAGCCTACAATTATTTCCACATATGCTGTTTGAAGTGGCGAAATTTGAAAATTGCATAAATCACCCTGAGCAGTATAAAATAAATATGTTATAGTACATGGAATAACAGAAATACATGGGTCTGTGAAGATGAGCAGAGTTGAGTCACGGATGCTCCCATGGAGCCATGTCTCAGACACCGTGTCAGGTGGAGGACGGTGTTCGGTTCTGAGTAGCTACGACTTATCTGTCACAAAAAAACCTACAAATAGTGTTGGCTCTGGGGGAGGGGCTGGTCCCCTCACCGTGAGGATGGCCGCCACGGTGCCATGGGTGCTCGCCCGGCCTCAGAGAGCAGGGCCAGGGATGGAATGCCATGGAACCGTGTCCTTTCAGAAAGACTAGGATGTACTGGTTTTCAGGATGAAGGTGCCCAAGGCCACGCCAGCAGCCCCATGGGCTCCCGCTCCGCCACGCCAGCCCAGTGTCCGAGCCTCTCCAGCCAGCCTTCCTAGGTGAGCAATGACTCGTGCCATCCAAATATGAAGGAGCGTTAAGCCGAGGAGGCTGGTGGGACAGGAATGGTCAGAGGAGCTGCCACTCAAAGTGCAGACGTTGGAAGTCAAGGCTCCAGAATGAATGTGGGGCACGCAGGAGGCGGGTGCTGGTGGTGAGGTGGGCGCAGCGGGGCTCTGCCCCGTGCAAGCCTTCTGCAGCCCTCGGTCCCCAAACCTCCTGCTGCAGCTTGTTCCCTCTGTTTTCGATGACATGCGGCCTTTCTGCCGTATTCCTGGTGCTGGGACATTCATTCTCACAGCGCTCGTCCTGTGGTCTTTGTCTGTGAAGTGAGCACACGTCAGTTCCCACTGCATGGCTTCTGGACAGTGGCTGTTACACAAACGGTCAGTGATGCTCATTCCTGCCTCATCGTCTCCAAGGATAAAGGGGATGCAAGGGTCACAGTCCTTACCTTCGACATGGACGCGGATGTATTTTTAAGAGGCTATTCAGCACTGTTTTCCTGAATTAGGTTCTCTATTCCTTACATCATAATGGAGACAGCATTAGGCCAGCTTTTTCCCAATGTCCACACTCCCTGAACTCAGGAGAGAAGTGAAGGAGAGTGCTGTAGATGGGGCAGACATGCCCTCACGGCTGCTCGTGGCTCCTCCCCCTGCATGTGCTCTCACACCTGCTTCACGGCAGGCTCGTGGCCATCAGTGATTCTCAGGACAGTGACCTGCTCTCGGCATCTACAAAGCAGCCATGCTCAACTTCTGAGGCAAATGTGATATGGAAACAGACCTCTTTAAAAACTAAATTCAAAGGTGATTCTTGACCTTACCCACAGCGTTCTCCCCTCACATACTCAAGATGTGACGATGTTTCTAACAGTTTCATAAGGTCAGCTTCACGGGATCCCGTGTTTCTTGGAGTTCTGCACTTAGCCCTCATTCAACACTGCCAAGCTCCCATGCAAACATTTCTTCAGAAACCTGCCAGGTTCCTGATGCAGGTGCCTCCTCATGGTCCTGCTCCCAGCTGTCCCATGCCTCTTGCAAATGCACAGCGTCCCCACTCCCCACCCGGCCCTGCGCTCCCCACGGCTCCAGGACCATGTCTGACCCAGATCCACTGCCCTCTCCCTCTGCTCACTGAAGGGTGGGGTCCATGAACCTGGCCTCCCAGGACCCCGTTCTCGAGCGGACCCCTCGGGGTCCCAGCAGGGCAGCTCTGATGCCCCGGGTCTGCGCAGGAAGACCAGCTCCTGGGAGGGGCCAGAGAATTCCTTCGTGGTTCCCTGCCCTGGCCTCTCCTCTCACATCCCGACCCCGTGGTGTCTCCAGGCCTCGGTCAACACATGCTCCCCTGAGTCACTTCTCGGGGGGTTGTTCACCAACCCTGGGCCCCTTGACCAGGGGTATTAGTCAGGCCCTCCCCTTGGGCATGTGGGGCTGGCTCAGCCTCTTCCCCATGAAGGCTGCCCGGGAATGAGTGCCTAGTTTCATCAGTGGTGTCACCATGGAGTAATGGCCTGCGACCCCCACTCCTGACCCCCCATCAGCAAAGTCCTTCTTTCATGCAAAGCCCTGGGCCACTTGTTTCCTCTCTGAGGGTCCTGTTGCTTGCTAGGTGGAGCACTTATTTCTAGAATTCTATTCCTATAGCTTCCAGGCAGGAGATCACAGTGCCTTGCACAGGTAGCCCAGGACTCTACTGTGGAGAGTGACCAGATCCAAGGAGGCTCCGCCCCCAGGTGAGCTTCACCCTAGGTCAACCTGCTTTCCAGGTCAGCCCCGCCCCCAGGTCGGCTCCACTGTAGGTCAGCCCCACCCCCAGGTTCTAGATCAGCCCCGCCCCCAGGTCATCTCCACTGTAGGTCAGCCCTGCCCCCAGGTTCTAGATCAGCCCCGCCCCCAGGTCAGCTCCACTGTAGGTCAGCCCCGCCCCCAGGTTCTAGGTCAGCCCCGCTCCCAGGTCAGCCGCTCCTGCCACTACTGTGGAGTGAGGGGTCAACATTTGGCTATTTAACTTCCCATGCCACTGATTGCTTCAAACACTCTCTCCATCCTCTGCTGAAGACAGCGCTCCCATCTTGCACCCTGGCCGCGGTGACTCGGCCAACTCCCTCCTGACTTTGTGGGACGCTCCTTGCTTCCGCCCTGTTGTCCAGAGGTAAACAGCCTTGCCGTGGATTCCATCACACCCGTAAGTTCAGACGTCGCATCTGCATGGCACACTCGTGGAGCAGCTGGTTCCTGGGATGTGCCTGGACCTCGCATAATTTATCTGATGGTCTTTGAATCCTTAGCATGTAGTTCAGGAAGATCATCATGTAGCTGTCTGATAAACATGAAAGTTTCCTCACGGAGGGTCGGGCTGATGATCACCCGAGAATTATCTTCCTTGTCGCCTTAATGAATTAGAAGGTCAGGCATTCCGGCACGTTCTGAGGTTGTGACATGCGCAGGTTTCTACCGGCTGTGCTATGGAGGGAGGGGGCCCTTTGTGAACCAGTAAGGAGAGTGCCACTTCCTGCTGCCCGGGACTCCGTTCTAACCACGGCATGCTCCGTGGCCTGCCCCGTGAGAATGGACTAGTGTCAGGGCCTAAAAGATGAGTCCCTTAGTGGGTGAGAGCTTTTGTAAAAATGCTGAGTTGTTCGCTTATGCTGTGTGGCTCCAGGCCTCTGGGCTCTGCACCAGCGGAAGTGCTTGGGATGAAGATAAGCATGGGGTGGACAGAGCTCCTGAGCCCGTCTGTCATGTGGGGTCAGAGGACAGAGAGTCAGGCCTCCTGCACGAGCAGAAAGTGCTCAGAGCCGCCCCCCGCACACACACGCAGGTTGACTGTGCACAGGCCGTGAGAGCAGAGGCCGGGCAGGGAACCGTGAAGGAATTCTCTGGCGGCTGTGGTGTGGGAACGTGGGAAGGGGCAGGTGGACGTGGCGAGACGGTGCGAGCTCAGAACAGGGAAGGGGCCTCACCAGATTCCCACGCTGCTGTGGCTCCTGGATCTTGGGCTCCAGCCTCCAGGACGGTAGGAAGCCCGTTTCTGCTGTTAAAGCCGCCAGTTTGCGGTGGTTCCTTATGGCGGCCTAAGTGGACAAAGCTGCTGGGGGCTGTGGTCCAATTTCACCGGCTTATATTGTCGGTAAATAAACATATAAGGAAACTTTCCACAAAAAAATAAATGTTTAAAGACCACAAACATGACCCTTGGAGCCTGTCCCACATTGACACTTGGGACACAGACTGGAGGGGAATGTTGCCTCCGTGTCATGGAGCCGCGAGATGGGCTTTGCCTGCCATCTCCGAACACTCTGTCTCCAGGAGAGTCACGGCCAACAGCCTGCTGCTTTAGCTCTGCAAGCACGAAGCAGCGGACGCGTGCGGCCTGAGGGTCCAGGAGCACGGTGTTCTTCTGCCTTCAGGAGACAGCGGTAAACAGGGTGAATTATGAACGTCTCTCTTAGTAAAATCAGACACCAGGCACGCATCGCAGGGCAGCACACCGCCCCTCCATGTGCGGCCCTCCAAGGACGACACTGGGTCTGGGGAAGACAGGACAGGGAGCCGGACAGGCAGGAGCAAGTGCCTACGGCAGGGCCCCCCAGAAGCGCTCTGAGCCCCCACCTCTGCCCCCGTCACCGTCAAGTACGAGCAGCAAGTGAGGGACCTCTGACTCCCCAAACCACGCCGTGTGATCCGCAACGGAGGGAAGACGCCACGACGGTCTCCTGGTCAGGGGCTGAACGATGGCGGTGCACACAGCAGGTGCTCGCCGATGCGCATTCCACCAGTGAAAACAGAGTGCCCGGGGCAGAACCCCTCGCGTGGTTAGGCATGTGTGTGGGTGCACTTGCTCACCTCACTTAACCGGGAGGACGGAGTCGGCGGCGCCCTGACGCTGGGCTTTCACCCTGCCGGTCAGCTGCCCGACCAGGTCGGCCTTGGGTGTGTGGCGGGAATCCCGGGCCGTGTGCGTGGGTGGGAGGGGTGCTGTGAGTGCCCCCCCCCCGCTCTCGCTCCCCTCCCACAGACGGTCTGAGCCGTGATTCCCGACAGAGAGGACCTCGGGCCTTACCAGGACCATGTGGCCAGTGGAGATGTCCATATTGGACTGCACGGGCTCCTCGGACCAGGACGACGTGCTGCTCCGTGCGGATGGGCTGGGCATCGGCCCGTCGCTGAACTGGGACGAGACGCTGTTGATGCGGGACGTGTGCGGGGCCTCCGGGCGCTCGGACGTGCGCACGGCCATGCGTTGCCGACACAGCTCCTGGCAGACAGCGAGGGCAGGTTAGCGCTGCCCCACGGCCTCGGCCTCCCCCAGCCCTGCCCGACCCGAGAGCCAAGGGGCAGACGGGGCCCGCCCCGAGGCCATGCGTGCACGCGCACACGCACACGGATATCCCACATGCACACACAGAGACCACACACATACACACGTGTACACACGCGTAGTGCGGACACAGACACACAAACGCGCAGATTCGGGGCAAAGGGCACTGGACCCGCCGTGTGGTGACGCCGGACTATCCTGGAACAACGCAACGTGCAGGCTGAGCTAGCCGACTTTCCTTCCTTTCTAGAACACCGGTCACAGTGGGAGGGACAGGGTTTTACACCGTGCTCTGAAACTGGCACCAGGCTCAGGTGTTCGGGAAAAAAAAACACCTCGTTTTGTTTCTTCCCTTTTTTCCCCAAACAACACCCAAACTGATGAGAGCTCACACGAGAGAGGACAGATAAAATCACATGGAAAAAGGAAGTATGTGGTTTAATGGAAAAGGATTTGCTTCTCTGCCCAGACCCCCAAAGACAAAGTCTCTAGACGTAAAGGAAAACCTCAGTATGACAGCCGAACGGAGCTGCTGTTGGGTCCCTACAGGGTCCTGGCCAGCCCCACGCAGGGCAGCGGTATTTGAACACGCGGGTGGGAGCGGCGCTCAGAAGCAAGGGACCCCGGTGTCGCCATGTACTAGCTCCTGGCTGTCACCGGAGAGTCAGCCGGGACCCCCCAACTTCTCACTGGCGAAATACCTGCATCCTGAGCTGATGAAATCCAGCCTTTTGCCCCTGAAACGATCACTGTAACCTGAGCCACCAAAATAAAATGATAGCAAGAAAACCTCCGTAAGAGACTCTGAGCCAAGAGAGGAAGTAAAAATGCATTCACGGGGAAAGATGCTGGCGAGCTGCACGGCTGCTGGGTGCTCCTCCCTTCCCCGGGGGTGGCACTCAGGGAGGGCTGCCCCCGCTGTCCCCACCAGCTCAACGCACCCCAGGGTGCTGGCTAAAGCCCTGCGGAACCCTAACACACGTTCCTTATCCTTCACGCAGCTGCCCTTCTCCTTGGTGTTAAAGACCTTCCTCAGGCATCTGCCACCATAGAGAAAAGACCCCTCTCTCAGCGCAGCTCCCCTGGGAGGCACGGCTCGGGCGCCTGGAGCCAGACAGTGCATACCGCCCGGGACAGGTCCACGGAGGGGCCCCTCCGCCCGCCAGAGCAGTGGGTCTCATGGAGCAGGGCTGCGGGCATCCTGAAGAGACAGGTGAACTTTATACAAAGGGCTGCCGTGCGGGCCATGGAAGGGAAGAGGGAGAAAGCCAGGCTGCACTTCTGCTGGGCCCCCCACCGTCCTCAGGGTTTGCCGGCTCACGCATGGTGTTCAGACAACGGGTTTGTTTAAAAAACCCAGCCAGATTTGCTCAAAATCTTAAAAACCAACCAACCAACCAACCCCAGACACGGTGGGTAATTCTAACCAGGTACGTGGTACTAGTAACCACTTCTTTCCCCTGGATGCACGTGGGATGTTACTTGATTTTGGAGAAAGCAGACCAAATGACGTTTCTGCACCAACTGCTATGGTTTCACATAGTTCATCTGCAAGAATAAATAGTAACTCCAACCGAAGCATAAAGATAACTCCGGCATTGGCCAGGAGAGCGCAGAATGTGTCCTCCGGGAAGGAGCACCTTTGGGGAGGAAGGTTTGGGATGGTTGAGATTTAGTCACTAAGAAGCAAACGTCACACCAGCTAGGGTCACACCAGCCAGGTGACCGCCCTGCGACTGTGTGGGGGGGATGGGAGGATGGCCACAAGCCCCGGATTCCCGTTCTTCCCTCTGCCGGTGGAGGGGAGTGCGTACGGCGGGCCCCCACGCAAGGTCTCGGAGCCCGAGTGTGTCCACTTGAAAAATGGAAGCACCAGTCTCGTTACCGAAAGACAACCATGTGGTGCCCGCTACAGAGAAAGTCATCAGCAGATATTAGTGCAATAAAATTAAAATTCTCTAAACCAGAACAAACTCTCAGGGGCTCGGCGAGTTCAAAGGTATTTCCAAAGAAAGCTCAGAATTTTGGAGTTGAAGAGGCAGCAATCGTCCACGCAGACCTCCTTGTCTGACAGGTGACTTCGTGGCTGACTGGACGCGCTGCAGGGCCCCATGGGGCTGCGACCTGGGGCCGAGCGCTCCACAGCGTTACTCAGTGCTGGCGCTCCTTGTAGGTCTTTCTTTAGAAAAATGAAATTCTTAAAAACAGAAGGAAGGTTCCAAGAAGAAACAGTCCCCAGCCTGTATCCAACGGCAGTGCACAACCCCCCCTCCCCAGGCACCTTGGTTCGAGAGTGGCCCCCCAAGAGTGTGGCCGTCACCCGAGTGTGGCCTAGAGTGAGGGCACCGCTTGGGGAGGGCCCCTCACCTGCAGAGCTGGAGCGTCTCTGAGTCGAGGAGGCCCACGGCCTCCCAGAGAGGCCAGGCCTCTTCCGTCACACCCTTACATACCGGTAAAGGTAGGCGCCCCTGCTCGGGTGGACCTTGGCGTCGGACTGACAGCTATCCCGTTTCTGCATGATGAGCATACGAGCCGCTGAGATAAGGACTGTCTGGAGGCAGAAGTGATGACGGGTTTACTGACAGGAGGGTTAGGTTGGAAGTGGGTTCTTGGGTTTGAAGTCACTGTGCATTTGAGGCCTGTGAGGCCCCTGCCTCTGTGGGCAGCTGCCCGCAGCTCTCTTTCCCGCCGTTCCCAGCCAGGGTGCTGTTCTGGGCTTTCCGAGGGCCGGGAGGCGGCCGGATGCCAGGGAGACGTGCACAGCGGGGTCTTCAGGGCTGTCCTAGCAGAGACTCCGCCTAGAAACCAGGGCTCAGGAGACCCACGCTGTGACACATTTGCCCTCTCCTTCTCCTTGGATTCCAGGAAATTACTCCCCTGTTCCAGCACCTGAGGGACAATGCCTCACTCCGGTCCTGGCTTCGGCACCTACGGGCTGTGTGACCGCGGACAAAGCACCTAGCCTCTCTGAGTCCCGGTTTCCTCATCTGTGAAACCAAGCCTGTGGTCCTGGGAGGACTGAGGAAGGTCACGGGCTCAGAACTCGCCCTCAGCACCGCCTGGCCCATGACTAGCGAGTGCTAAGCCGCCCAGCTCTGGCTATGCGCACGAATCAGTCCCAGGCACCAGGAAGGACTGCGGAGTAGGACCAGCAGGGCCCTGAGCCCCCCGCACTCATGGCCCAGCCCAGAGCTCCCCGACGTCTGTGGGGTGTTTCGGGGGGATGGGAGCTGGTGGGCGGGGGCCTCCAGGGTGAGGCGCTGCAGATATGCGGGGGTCGTCCGGAGGGGACGGAGTCAGCGGCAGGACTGAGGGAGAAGAGGGGCCCCGCGGTCGTGCTCCGTCGGGGTCAGCTTCCTGGGAGCGCGAGGTGGAGCGCCGGCCGTCTGTCTGTCTGGTCAGCAGTGCAGTTGTTGGTGTGGTTTCCTGCGCAGTCGAGGCTCCGAGGGAAGCTGCCATTCACAGCCCACCCGTGCCCCCCGGCTTCCGACGCGTCCAAAGAGAATTTCACCTGCCATTTGCGCCTCCCTGTGTCCGGGCCGCTGCTGAGGCGCGAGCTCGCGTGACTGAGGTTCCTATGGGACCAGCCCCGCATCTCAGGGTCTGCTCTGGTAGCTTCTGTTGGGCTGGGGTCTGAAGGAGCAGCCGTCCTGTGACCCTGGGCAAGCTGCGTGCCTTCTCCTGCCTCATCTTCCTAATCTGAGACGCGGGAAGGAACGGCGGGCAGGCACCACGTCGCAGGGTTGGGGCAGGTCATCTCACTAACACAAGCTGCGGGCTCACGACGAGATGAGGGTGCCGGGAGCACACGGCCCCTGCTCCGCGGACTGTGGGGGGCAAGCCCCGGCCCCGGGGTCTCCCTCCAGGCCGGACACAACGAGGCCATGCCCGTCCATCTGGGACAAAACCAGAGGCTCCTCCCGGAAATGCCCGCCGGGAGGGGACACACACCAGCTCGCTGCCTCTTGGGGGACCCTGACTGTGAGCCCCCACTGGTGGAAACTGCATCCTCCTCTCTGCCCTGCTGCCCTCTCTGAGGAACCACCAGAGGTCCCTTTAATTAGTGCTTTCGGTTAATTATGGTTTGTAAAGAAATAATAGAAATCCTGTATTCTGACCTGTCTCTGTGTTACTACTTTAAAATTGAAATTTCCTGAGGACAATCAAACTTCTTTTTAAAAGACAAGATGCAGGGGCGCCTGGGTGGCTCAGTTGGTTAAGCGACTGCCTTCGGCTCAGGTCATGGTCCCGGAGTCCTGGGATCGAGTCCCACATCGGGCTCCCGGCTCAGCGGGGAGCCTGCTTCTCCCTCTGACCCTCTCCCCTCTCATGCTGTTTCTCTCTCAATTAAATAAATAAATAAAATCTTAAAAAAAAAATTTTAAAAGACAAGATGCAGACTGCAACCTGACCCAGTTGTGGTCTGGTCAGAGTCAGGTGCAGGGTCAGGGTCAGGGTCAGGCGCAGGGTCAGGGTCGGGCGCAGGGTTGGGTTTGGGCACAGCATCAGGTTTGGGCGCAGGGTCGGGTGCAGGGTCAGGGTCCTGTGCTGTGCCCACCCTCTCAGCAGAGCTGTCTGGGGAGAGGGAGAGCCTCTGCCCTCCCCCCAGACCAGAAAGTTCCACTGGTCTGTAGGCAACACCACACCCTTCATGTAAAAGTCTCATCTACACCTAAAAAGGCAGTCGCAGTCCACAAAGAGACATGTGGAGGTGCAACCCCTCTGCCCCCTTAGGGGATGGGGTGGGCATAAACACTTACTTAGAATGTAAATTGAAGTTTGTAGCATTAGTTCCCGTTACCTGGAAATGCGATCAGACCCCAGTGCTCCCTGCCTTTCCTGCCCTGCGTTTACCGTCTGGCTTGTGGGGGGGCCCATGCAGAACAGAGCAGACTCGGTCCGCCACGACAAACACCGCATCACCGAGCAACAGTCTG